TATTGGTCTATTCTATGACGAAGCATCCGAAGCATAACTGCATACTCTAGCCTTAACTCTCTTATTACTTTGGTTAAGTTAGCACATGAGATGAGATTCAGTATGTTGGTGGATCCTACCTATATTAGAGAAATTGTCCTAATGTTATATATGAAAAATGTGGTAAATGTAACATTATTTTGATCTCTTGTGTAACACATGTAAATCGTACCTCTTTAGAAAATTGATACAAAATATAAAATATGGGGAATATGCCAATATGTGCAGATATCAAATTTCTTTTCCACGTAACAAACCGAAGAATACAAATATTAATTTTGGACGATAAGTGGTAAGTCTATAAACAAGTCAGCTTTGTCATGTCACCTTATAGTTTTGCCGATATCTCTCAGGAACAGTTAGGAAAAGTATAAGAAAACAAAGAGAAGCAGCAGCAGAAGAGGAAGGGGAACATATAGAAAAGAAGAGGAAGTAGAAATATAGCAATGTTGGCAAGCTCTGGAGGTTTAGAGAGGAGTGAAAATACTGAAGTGCTCTTAGTAGAGGCAGGTGGTGGCGGTGATGGAGATCAAGAAGGAGCTAAAAAATTACCAAGGTGGTGGTGGAAGAGAGTGTTGGATGTGGAGGAGGCCAAGAAACAGGTCATGTTTTCACTGCCAATGGTTTTTACCAATCTTTTTTACTACTTGATCACTTTGGTGTCAGTCATGTTCGCCGGCCACCTTGGCGACCTTGAGCTGGCCGGTGCAACCCTTGCCAATTCATGGGCCATTGTCACTGGCTTCGCTTTCATGGTAACTTTTCCACTTTTCCTCACTCATACCATAGTAATATTTTTTAATTTCTTCAAAATCTAATACAAATTTTGGAAAATGGTAGAAGGACAAACATAACTAAAACATGAGTGTAGGGAGAAAAAGAATGTGTGGTTATTATTTTGCTTTTAGTATTCTAATTGTTTGAAACTTTGGTGTAGGTTGGGTTAAGTGGAGCTCTAGAGACGCTTTGTGGCCAAGGGTTTGGTGCAAAGTTGTATAAAATGTTGGGCATTTATCTACAAGCTTCATGCATCATATCTTTCTTTTTCTGTTTCATCATATCTATAATCTGGTTCTATACTGAACCTATACTTATTTTACTCTATCAAGATCCTCAAATTTCCAAATCCGCTGCTGTTTTTATGAAGTTTCTGATTCCGGGATTATTTGCGTATGGATTCCTGCAAAACATCTTGAGATTTATTCAGACACAATTTGTTGTCCTGCCGTTACTCTTTTCGCTTGTACCCGTTGTTATTCATGTTGGCATTGCTTATGGTTTGGTACATTGGACAGCTCTTGGTTACAAGGGAGCTCCACTAGCAGCTTCAATTTCGTTATGGATATCCGTTGTTGCGTTGGCCATGTATGTCGTCTGCTCGAAGAAGTTTGAGCATACATGGCAAGGATTCTCTTTAGAATCATTCCATTATGTTGTTTATGATTTAAAACTTGCCCTCCCCTCAGCACTAATGGTATGGTAAGTATCACATTTTTCATTACTTTTAGTGTTAAAAGTTAACAATGCTGCATTCAGCTTTTTGGAAACCTTTTCTGCATCAGATATAGAACCGTAACATAGAAGATACAACTAAAACTGAAAGAATTTCAAAACCGAATTATAAACCAAATGAAGGGTTTATACTTTAAAGCATAGACATCAGATTCAGGTGCTGCATAACAACTATAATTTAGCAGAGTTATTGTCAATAGGATTCAGTACTTAATTGCATTATTTAACTTAAAACTAGTGCAAAATATATCCAGTTTGGAGGAATGGGCTTTTGAAATTCTGGTGTTGATGGGAGGATTGATGCCGAATTCGAAAGAAACCACTTCACTAATTGCAATGTGGTAAGCTTCAATGTACCTTTTTTGTCATCTAAACGTATTCTTGCTTCCTACCTCAAGTAACCTTTTTATAATCATCTCTTCAGTGTGAATACAGAAGCAATTGCATACATGATTATGTATGGCCTAAGTGCTGCTGCAAGGTTGGTCGACTAACAATTCTTGTGTTGTGTTTTCCCTTTAATTTGTTCGATTACTACGTTCTGTTTCGTTCATTAAAACAAGGTTTACTTATTGTGGCGTAGCACAAGGGTGTCAAATGAATTAGGAGCAGGGAATCCCAACAAAGCGAAGAATGCAGTGGCTGTGACTTTTAAGCTCTCTCTGCTTCTTTCTTTTGCTATTGTTTTGGCTCTAGCACTTGGTCACAATACCTGGACTCACTTCTTCAGCGACAGCCATATAATAGCAGATCAATTTGCTTCTATGGTACCATTGCTTACAATTTCCATAGTCGTGGATTCCGTTCAAGGTGTCTTATCAGGTTAAGATCAACCACTTTTTTGTAGGGTTAGTTCTACATTGCTCTTTTTCCCGTAACTTAGAGGATTTTCGGTATTTCAGGTGTGGCCAGAGGATGGGTGGCAACACTTGACTGTGTATGTAAACTTAGCAACATTCTATTTGATTGGTATGACAATCTCCAGTCTTCTTGGATTTAAGTTCAAATTACATGCCAAGGTAAGATAATACATTAATAATTTGATTGTTTTGGTTTTATTTTATTTTTTCAAATCACATTTCGGTGCTTCATTTTTCGTTGCAGGGTTTGTGGATTGGTTTGATCTGTGGCCTCTCCTGTCAAGCCGGCACGCTTTTGTTCTTAACACTGCGCACGAAATGGAGCGTGTTGGATTTACCAGATTTATCAGATGTTGAAGAGAATGAAAAAGCAGTTTTGGTGTGAACAAATTTTCAGAAATTAAGACGTGATAAGATCATATAACCGTGAGAAGTTTATGCATTGTTAGATGCATGCATTGCTTAATAGAAGGAAGGACGTTAGACTGACTGCAAGAATGGAATCCGTGTGTTGTGCTTAAACTAAGCCTAAAACATGTATTTTTTTAACAGCTTCTAAATAGACACGTAGGGTTTGATCCTTCATTGTGCGGTTCTTTGGAGAAATACTAGTGCAGTCACTTTCTCCCAATGTTTCAAAAAACGCGCCTAGACGGCTTTGGGGCAGGGTGATGATGAAAACGCCTCTGCCGAGCGAGAGTAGGCTTAAACTTGCTTAGACGTGCGCTTGAGGCATTCGACTGGGCCTTTTTTTTTTAATAGAGACTTGGCAATGAAGAAGATGATGAGACTCTAAACTACTGAGCCGACTGAAACTCTTATGGGCTGTTAGTTATGGTATTGTGGGCTGGGTATTCCTTAGGTCCATTTTCATTTGGTCATTTAGAGACACGTGTAGCTAGATGTAGTTATAGGCTACAAGGAGTGGCCTTTTGTGGAGGTTTTGTACTAGAATAATGTTGAGATCAAAATTTTTAACAAATTTGCAGACTGATCAAAACTGAAGTAGTCATTCAATAATAAACATTCATATAATTTGGTTTGCAAAACTTGATCTCTTTAACATTACCCTTCATAAGGGGTCCAAACTTTTTTTTGAGACCGTTGAATTTAACCTAACAAGGTAAAGTTACTCAAAGAGAAAGGGAAATCTTTTTGTTTTTTTTAAAGAAGAAATGATATTATCTGCACTAAGGGGAGGGGATGAGTTTAACCTCACAATAGGCTAACAATAATGTGGTTCAAATTCGCTTTTGACGAGAATCGAACCTAAAACCTCTCACTTACAAGTGAAGAAGAATATCACTAGATCGTAATACTAAGTGGCAAAAAGGAAAACTTTTTTAATTGAAAGGGAAGGCTCCTTTTTATCAAAAACTAAAGGATAATGTTAGGGAAACTAAATTTGTAGACAAAATTTCAAAAAAATAAAGAACATGAAAGTTGATGATTGATTTATTACTTAAACGTTAATTAACGTGTTCATTCTTATTGGTAACACATCATTTAGTTTGTAAATTTTATCCATAAACTTAGCCTTCCTAACTAGGAAACAAACTTAAAAGTAAAGTTACCCAACAAGAAAGGAAAAAGATCTTTTAATTAAGCCGCAAGAGACCGATATATAAGAAGAACAAATAGGAGTAGAGAAAAGCAAAAACAGGCTGCATATATCAAGCAATAAACTCATAAAAAGGTCTAGATGCAGTGCCATTAATTGTGGTTTGGTGGCCGCTTCAAATTCGATTTAATATTCCTAGTAACTTGGTTTCTCTTAAGTAGTGTTTTAATTAGGAATTGTGTTGTCATTTAGTAATAGTCATTTTGATGCAGTGTATTAAGGAGGTTGATTAAGTAGGGATCTTGATATTCGGGATGGTTCTTTAAGTTTTCAAATCTAGTTAATATCCCTAGTAATCAAGTATTTAGAACATTGTGTATTTTAGTTATGTGGTTGAGTTGGAACTTGGTGATTATTATTTCTTATGTTGTAGTGGACTAGGAAGTTGTGCTAGTATTTAATTAGGTTGTTGCTAGGCCTATTAAAAGGCTAGAATTGTTAAGGAAGAAGGGATTATGTATTTTGAATTATTTTATATAAACAGAGAGTAGTTCTCTAGGGTGCGTTTGGTACGTGGGACGGGACGGGACGGAATGGGACGAGGCGTTCCGTCCCGCGTTTGGTGCGCCAAAAATAGGTGGAACGGGCTGTTCCACGGGACAGATTTTGGGTGTTTTTGCGTCCCACCTGCCCCCCTGGAACGGGTTTGTTCCACGTCTGTGGAACACAATGTTTTACCATTTTAAGACAGATATACCCCATGTCTTTTTCAAAAATTACACCTTCGTTCCGTCCCGTCCCGTTCCGTCCCGTCCCGTCCCGTCCCGTTTGCATACCAAACGCACCATATATGTTCTTTGGGTCTAATTGTGCTTGAGATTTCAATAATCATCTCTCAGTTTTCATCCCCGCATTACATTTACTGTGCTATAGTGGGCTAGGAACTTGTGTTTGTAGTTCTTACGGTTGTTGGCTAGGCTCTCTAAATACTCGAACTATCTAGTCCGAAAGGAATACCAAACGTCAGAATGGCAAGGAAACTAGTGAAGCAATCACAAAAGAAACAATCTTTCTACACCATCCTACTCAGTGACTACGCGCGGCATCTGGTATGTAACATCCTCAGACTTTTTTCTCACTATAATTACCAAAAGCCGGGTTGGGCAGTATCCTTGTGTGTACCATGTTTGTATTGCCGTATTATATTGATAAAGTGAATGCAATCTCAGCTGGAACTGGGACTTGCTCAAGGAGTTTGTAGACTTGTAGTAACTCAAATTTAACAATCAGTGTTATGTTGTTTTTGGTAACACTAACGTGCCATATATTCATCAGATCAGATGAGTTTCCATGTTCATAGTTTAGTATTGAGAAGCACATATATATTGGTTTTAAAAAAAGCAATTAAATTTTGTAGCGTATACCACCTAAGTTCGTCAAGAACTTCAATGGATGGTCACCTTGCAAATGTGTTCTTCGAGGCCCCAGTGGATTACGAAGGACTGTGGAATTGGAAGAGAGAAATAATGGCTTATTCTTCAATGTTGGTTGGCAATATTTTGTGAAGGATCATCATTTAGAAAACGGGGATCTTTTGGTTTTCAAATATGATGGCGAATCAAAGTTCAAAGTCGCAATCTATGATACTACTGCTTGCGAGAAGGATGTAGAGATAGCTGATAGCTGGAGGATTCGCAGTTCTGTTCCTTTGTTTAACAACGGACATGCTCGAGTAAAAGAAGAAATTGTTGAACTTGAAACTGAAAACTACAACGAAAACTGTGAAAACAAAGTGTTCATTTCTGGAAGAAAGAAATGTAAGTTATTCGCTTCGACATTTAAGAAAGATCTGTATGTGCTATTTATTTTCTCTAGCAGCTTTGTTTGTTCTTTTCTTCTTAAACTGTTGGTAATGTACAGGGAACCATCTTATATCGGGGAAGATACCTTCACACGATCAAAGAGAAGCAACATCAACTCAACCCGTCTTGTCCAAATCGAAGAACTCGTGTTTTATAGCAATCTTTAACAATCCAAGGCGATATCGTGCGGTGAGTACGTTAATTATCATCCAATTCTGAAGCTAACTAACTAACTAACTATATATATATACATATATTTTTGAAAACTTTCCCTCTTATGATTGCAAATGGTAAAAGAGATCGTTAGAATATCATAAGCACTGCACTATATATGGAATTTTTTCTCCATTGACGTCGTTGATGTTCTAAATTGTAGACAATCCCAAGGAAACTAGCCGTAGCTGAAGATGTTTTAAATAAGAAGAGTATAATGATTCAGGATTCAACTGGGAGATCATGGCTCGTTAAACTTAACGTTCGCGGCAAAGGTTCTCAGTGTCGTGTGGATATGGCAACTGGTTTGGGAGAATGCGGTAAAGCCAACCAGGTTTTACCTGGGGACGAAGTCGTTTTTGAGTTTGTCAAGCAAAGTCTTTTGCAAATTCATATCTACAGAGTGGAAGCATTAGGAGGCAAATCACTGCGATTACTTCCTCGGAATGTTAGAGAAAACGAGCCTTAAGATTGGTATAAGCGGCTTTGAAGGCGGAGCAATGATGAAAACACCTCTGCCCAGCAGAGCAAGCATAAACTTACCTAGACATGAACGAGGTGCGCCGAAACGAACGACTGAAGCGCAGCGTTTGACTATGAATTTGTTTTTTTTTTCTTTTGGAAATGCTTGGCAACGAAGAAGAAGAAGATATTACCTTTAATTTAGATGATGAGATTTGGATGAGTGATTCTTTTTTTATCTTTTTTTTAGTATGTTTGTGAGTTAATTTTTTTTGTGATTTGCACATTTTTAAATGACAATGGGCATTTGTTTTACATATTATATATATATACACACACATTAATAATTTTAGGTCTCGTGAGAGTATCCCCTAATGCCTCAAAATTTTCGTCCAGAAGAAGCTGTCCATGAAATTACTTAACTTTGCCATCGCTTTACCTACTTGTGATTCTTTCATTTCATGCCATCAGCATTCCATTTGAAAAACCAGACCAGCACATATTTTAACTAAACAAATTAAAACATTTGAAAACTAGCTTTTTGGCAATTGGCATGCTGTCATGGTGCATCAAGATTGGACATTTGATTAGACTCCCAGCTTTTGGGCCTACTGAAAATCTTATGGGCTGTCTGTATGGCTATCGTGGGCTAGGTATCCTTAGGTCCATTCGCATTTGGTCATATAGAAAAGGTTAAGTTACCCAAAAAGAAAGGGAAAGCTCTTTTAATTGGAAGAGAAAGCTCCTTTTGTGGAGGTTTTGTACGGGGTGCCAAAATTCTCGAAAAAAATAAAACTAGGAAACATAAAGCTCCCCAAAACGAAAGGGAAAGCTCTTTTAATTGAGCCACAAGAAACCGATATATAAGAACAAATAGGATTAAAGAAAAGCAAAAACGAGCTGCAGATATCAAGCAGTAAACTCATAAAAAGCTTTGAAGCGTCTGATTCACTGAAGACCAGAAGGGTTGTCAGCTGCTCTTGTTTCAATAAGCCAATCATTTGTTCGTAGAGTCCCGAGCGAACTATCTAGTTCGAAAGGATACCAAAAGGCGGAATGGCAAGGAAACTAGTGAAGCATTCACAAAAGAAACAATCTTTCTACACTATCCTACTCGGTGACTTCTCCCGGCATCTGGTACGTAACACCCTCAGACTTCTTTCTCCCTATAATTTTAAGATTCATGAATCAAGAATCAAGAATCTCTCTCTTCTTTCTGCTTTCTTGATTTCTGTCTGTTCGGTTCTTTTTTTCTTCCAAGACAAATCTTCGGCGCCCTTAAGTTTAATCAATATGTTAGATTCTGAAAGATGCCCATGAATTCTAGCTAGTTGAAGGTTGATAATAACCTGTTCATGGTTCGTGTTTGAAACTACTTCTCACTAGCGGGTGCACATTAAGGAGGCAAATTTGCCACCATAGCACGTCTACCGGAAAAGTGAGGTTTCTGAGGGTCATACTGTTGGAGTATGTGGCCAAGTGGCCAACTTTTGATTAAACAAATCAAAAAGGAAAAAAAGACAAAATAATTATGTCTCTTCCTTGTTTTGGGGAAAAGAAAAGGGAATTTGTCTAAAGTTTTCTTGGTCTATGTGGGAAGTCACGGATGAGTTTTTGAAGTAGAAGTAATTGCTACTTTTGATGAAGAGTAGTAATGAAGCCATAAGAGAGGAAAAAACGTAGCAGAAAAAATAGAGCAAAAACAGAGGTGCTGCACCCCCATTTTGAAGAGAAGAAAGAAAGGTGATTTTCTTTCTTTGTTGGTACTCACTCAATCAAAGTTGTATTTGTGTATTAGCTTTGAGCTTTGTATAGAGAGGAAATTATTCACTATATTTCCCTCTCTATTTGTTTCTTTGGTGAGTGAGAGTTATTGGATGTATTGGGGTTTTGGGTTGTGAGATTGCCAACACTTTGTAAACTCCCATTTGGTTGATAGTGGATTATTGGGTGAGCTCCTACTGCTCCGAGGACGTACTCCAGTTACACTGACTGTTGAGGAACCTCGTTAAAATCTTGGTGTCTTTAATATTTTGTTCTTGAATTTCATTTGATAAATTTCCTGTGGGTTAGCTTGAGTTGGTTCCAACGGGTTTGGTGCTATCCTAGCACAACAATTGGTATCAGAGCACTGGTTGCTCTTGGGTACTGTCTAGTTGCCAAAGATGTCAGACGGGCAAGATGAAAATCCTTTTGGAAGCAGCTCCGGGTTTGCAAGAACTACGGTGCAAAATGCAAAGTTCGAAGTGGAAAAGTTTGATGGCACAAACAACTTTGGGATGTGGCAATGTGAGGTCAAAGATGTGTTGGCTCAACAAGATCTACTTACCGCTTTGGGAGAGAAGCCAGAAGCTATGTCGAAGCCGGAATGGGAGAAATTAAATTTGTGGGCTTGCTCTTCAATTCGGTTGTGCCTTGCAAAAACTCAGAAGTATTTTGTGATGCGGGAGACGGTAGCAAGTGTGTTGTGGCAAAAATTGAAAGACAAGTATATGACGAAGAGTGCAGAGAACCGGCTACACTTGAAAGAAAAGCTCTACCGCTTCCAATACAAAGAAGGTACAAAAATGATTAGACACCTTGATGCTTTTAATAAGTTGATTGCCGACTTGTTAAATTTAGATGAGGATATTAAGGATGAAGATAAGGCCTTAATATTGTTGAATTCCTTGCCGGACTCTTATGAGCATTTTGTTACCACTATTATGCATGGTAAAGAAACTGTGAAATTTGAAGATGTGTCAAATGCCTTGATGAATTATGAAATGAGGCATAGAGATAAAAATCATGATAGTACCCCTCTGAAGCTTTATTTGTTAGAGGTAGATCATCGGAGAGAAGATCATCTTCTAGTAGGAAAAAATCACAGTCTCGACCTAGAGGAAACTCTAAAGGTAGAAAACCTTTGGAAAGAGATGAATGTGCCTTTTGTCGTAATAAGGGCCATTGGAAGAAAGATTGTCCTAAAATTGAAGACCAAAGGCAAAGAAAGTTCTGAAGCTAATGTTGCTGAGGTTGAAACAAATTTTTCTGATTTTGCTTTAACCACTTCCTCATCATTTGATTGTGCTACTAAGTGGGTGTTGGATACGGGTTGTACTCATCATATGACTCCTCACAAGGATTGGTTTTCAAGCTTGAAAGAGTTTGATGGTGGCGTTATGTTCATGGGAGATGACAATCCTTGCACAACAAAAGGGATTGGTACAGTTCGTTTGAAGTTGCATGATGGCATGGTTAAAGAGTTGACAGGTGTTCGGTATGTACCGAATTTTGAAGAAAAATCTTATTTCTTTGGGTACTTTGGAATCTAAGGGTTTCAGGTTTCATTCAGATGGATATACATTGAAAGTTATTTATGGTGCACTTATTGTGATGAAAGCTCCTAGATGTGGCCATTTGTATTTATTGCAGGGAAGCACTGTGACAGGTGAAGCATCTGTAGTCTCAGAAAATATGGGTACATCTGATTCAGATACTACTAGACTGTGGCATATGAGATTAGGCCATGCTGGTGAGAAAGCTCTACAAGGGCTTGTGAAACAAGGTCTTTTAAAAGGTGCCACGACTTGTAAACTTGATTTCTGCGAGCATTGTGTCTTGGGGAAGCAAACTAGAGTGAAGTTTGGTACTGCTGTACATCAGACGAAGGGCATTCTTGATTATGTGTATTCGGATGTTTGGGGTCCTACAAAGACTCCCTCTTTGAGTGGTAGACATTGGTTCGTGACCTTTGTTGATGATTATTCAAGAAGGTCTTGGGTCTACACTATGAAGCATAAGAGTGAGGTGTTAAGCATTTTCTTGGGTTGGAAGAAAATGGTTGAGAACCAGACTGGGAGAAAGATTAAGATTTTGAGGTCGGATAATGGTGGTGAATACACATCCGATCCTTTCTTTAAAGTTTGTAAAGAGGAAGGAATTGTGAGACATTTCAGTGTTCGGGGAACTCCACAACAAAATGGAGTTGCAGAAAGATTGAATCGAACCTTGCTTGAGAAGGTTAGATGTATGTTGTCCCAGTCGGGTTTAAGCAAGTCATTTTGGGCAGAAGCAGTTAATTATGCATGTCACATCATCAATCGGTTACCCTCAGCTGCTGTTCAGGGTAAGACACCAATGGAGGTATGGACTGGAAAACCTTCTTCTGATTATGACTATATCCGTATTTTTGGTTCACCTGCTTATTTTCATGTGACTGAAAATAAACTTGATCCTAGAGCCAAAAATGCTATCTTTCTTGGTTTTAGTAGTGGTGTCAAAGGTTACAGGTTGTGGTGCCCAGAGATGAAAAAACTTGTAATCAGTAGAGATGTGACATTTGATGAAGAAAGTATGTACAAAGTCTCTGAGAAGAATGTGAAAGATGTCCAACAGGTGGAGCTTGAGAAAGTTGCCTCTGGTACTTCAAATCCTATTTCCGCTGATGTCGAAGCCACTACAAGTGAAGAAGTTGGAGACCATGAGGATGTTGAAGAAGTTGAACTTGAAGATTCTATTCAAGTTGAAGAGGAAGTTTCACCTCAAGAGTCTATTGCCAAGAATAGAGGAAAGAGACAAATTACCAAGCCAGCTCGGTATAGTGATTATGTTGCTTTTGCTCTTCCTATTATCACTGAAGAGATTCCATCCAATTATGAGGAAGCCATTGAGAGTGAGGAGAAGAAGAGGTGGTGCAATGCCATGGGTGATGAGATGAATTCTCTCTTGAAGAACAAGACTTGGGAGTTAGCTAAATTGCCTAAGGGCAAGAAAGCTATCGGTTGCAAATGGGTGTATGCCAAGAAGGAAGATGCTGATGAGAAAAGCAATGTGAGATTTAAAAGCAAGATTAGTTGCTAAAGGGTATGCACAAAAGGAGGGCATTGACTACAATGAAATATTTTCTCCAGTTGTGAAGCACTCCTCAATTCGTATTATGTTAGCTCTTGTTGCACAATATGATCTTGAGCTTGTGCAACTCGATGTGAAGACGGCTTTCCTACATGGTGATTTGAATGAAGAGATCTATATGTGTCAACCGGATGGGTATATAGTGAAAGGGAAGGAAAATTTGTTTTGCAAATTGAAGAAATCACTTTATGGCTTGAAGCAATCTCCAAGGCAATGGTATTTGAGGTTTGATAAATTTATGAGAGGCCAAAATTATTCTAGAAGTCAATATGATCATTGTGTGTACTTCAAGAAGTTGCAAGATGGGTCTTTCATTTATTTGTTGATATATGTTGATGATATGTTGATTGCCTCAAAAAATGTTGAAGAGATTGAAAAATTGAAGAAGCAAATGAAGAATGAGTTTGAGATGAAGGATCTTGGTGAAGCGAAGAAGATCCTTGGCATGGAGATCACTAGAGATAGAGAGAAGGGTTTGGTCAGTTTGAATCAAAGACAATACCTTGAAAAGTTGATTCGGAAATTTGGAGTTCATGATTCAACCAAACCGGTTAGTACCCATTTGGCTCCTCATTTTAAATTGAGTTCTCTACAGTGTCCTAAAAATGATAAAGAGAAGCTGCAAATGAAAAATATACCATATGCAAATTTGGTTGGTAGTTTGATGTATGCAATGGTATGCTCTAGACCGGATATTGCTCATGCAGTTGGCATGGTGAGTCGATATATGCATAATCCAGGTAAAGAGCATTGGCAATCAGCTAAGTGGATATTGAGATATCTCCATGGTACTCGAGATGTTGGTTTATGCTTTGAGAGGGATGACTCTGGTATTGGTCATTTTGCAGTTGGTTATGTTGATTCAGATTATGCAGGTGATCTGGATGGAAGGAAGTATACTACAGGCTATGTGTTTACTATGGCTAAAGGACCAGTTTGTTGGAGGTCCATTTTGCAGTCGTCTGTTGCCTTGTCTACTACAGAGGCTGAATATATGGCAGTTGCTGAAGCTATAAAGGAGGCCATTTGGATACATGGGCTGATTAGAGATTTGGGGGTTGATCAGAAGCAGGTGGAGGTACATTGTGATAGTCAGAGTGCCATTTATTTGGCTAAGTATCAGGTTCATCATGCGAGGACCAAGCACATAGATGTGCGTTATCACTTTGTTCGTGAAATTGTTGGTGAAGGGGAAATCATTCTCCAAAAGATTCCAACTAAAGACAACCCCGCTGATATGTTGACTAAGGTTGTTGGTGTAGCCAAGTTTGTTCATTGCTTGAACTTGGCTCACATTTTGCCTATATAAAGAAGGCGTTGAGCAGTAGGATTTTGGAGCATTTGGCTCGGCATGAGTTGTTCTCTTGCTAGTGTTTGGGAGTGATGTTGTGTGTTAATTGTGTTGGTTGGCTTATCATGACGTTTTTCGGAACTTGGCCAAGGTGGAGATTGTTGGAGTATGTGGCCAAGTGGCCAACTTTTGATTAAACAAATCAAAAAGGAAAAAAAGACAAAATAATTATGTCTCTTCCTTGTTTTGGGGAAAAGAAAAGGGAATTTGTCTAAAGTTTTCTTGGTCTATGTGGGAAGTCACGGATGAGTTTTTGAAGTAGAAGTAATTGCTACTTTTGATGAAGAGTAGTAATGAAGCCATAAGAGAGGAAAAAACGTAGCAGAAAAAATAGAGCAAAAACAGAGGTGCTGCACCCCCATTTTGAAGAGAAGAAAGAAAGGTGATTTTCTTTCTTTGTTGGTACTCACTCAATCAAAGTTGTATTTGTGTATTAGCTTTGAGCTTTGTATAGAGAGGAAATTATTCACTATATTTCCCTCTCTATTTGTTTCTTTGGTGAGTGAGAGTTATTGGATGTATTGGGGTTTTGGGTTGTGAGATTGCCAACACTTTGTAAACTCCCATTTGGTTGTAGTGGATTATTGGGTGAGCTCCTACTGCTCCGAGGACGTACTCCAGTTACACTGACTGTTGAGGAACCTCGTTAAAATCTTGGTGTCTTTAATATTTTGTTCTTGAATTTCATTTGATAAATTTCCTGTGGGTTAGCTTGAGTTGGTTCCAACGGGTTTGGTGCTATCCTAGCACAACACATACCACCAATAGATATGTGCTTCTCAAGCACTGTGTTTCTTATGTGATTGTATTGTTCGCTTACTATCATGTTAAACCCTTTTTTTAGATCCGCATATTTAATGGCACATCATATGTCATTTATGTTAATATAAAGTAGGTTTTATCCTGTATACAAATTAATTAATTGGTATATTGGAAATTGGCATGGCATCTCCATTAAGATTAGGTAATGTATTTGCAGACTTGTAGTCGTCAGATTGGAGTTTCCATGTTAATAGTTCTGTTTTGAGAAGCACATATTCTTTGGTTTTACAAAATCAATTACATTTTGCAGCGTATACCACCTAAGTTCGTCAAGAACTTCAATGGACGGTCATTGCAAATGTGTTCTTCGAGGCCCCAATGGATTACGGAGGACTGTGGAATTGGAAGAGAGAAAGAAGGGCTTATTCTTCGATGATGGTTGGCAATATTTTGTGAAGGATCATCATTTAGAAAAAGGGGATTTTTTGGTTTTCAAATATGATGGCAAATCGAAGTTTAAAGTCGCAATCTATGATACAACTGCCTGTGAGAAGGATGTAGAGATAGCTGACAGCTGGAGGATTGGCGGTTCTATTCCTTTGTTTAACAACGGACAGGCTCGAGTAAAAGAAGAAATTAATGAACTTCAAACTGACAACTACAACGAAAATTGTGAAAACAAAGTGTTCAATTCTGGAAGAAGGAATTGTAAGTTATTCGCTATATATTTTCTCTAGCAGCTTTGTTTATTCTTTTCTTAAACTGTTTATCAATTTGTAATGTGCAGGCAATCATGTTATATCGGGGAAGAGACCTGCACACGATGACAGAGAAGCAACATCAAATGAATCCGTCGTGTTCAAATCAAAGAACTTGTGTTTTAAAGCAATCTTTAACAATCCAAGGCAATACCGTGCGGTGAGTACGTTAATTATCATCCAATTCTGAAGCGAACTATATATATTTTTGAAAACTTCCCCTCTTATGATTGCAAATGGTAAAAGAGATCGTTAGAATACCACAAGCATTGCACTGTGTATGGAGTTTTATCTCCATTGATGTTGTTGATGTTCCAAATTGCAGACAATTCCGAAGAAACTAGCCATAGCTGAAGATCTTTTAAATAAGAGAGTATAATGATTCATGACCCAACTGGGAGATCATGGCTCGTTAAACTTAATGTTCGCGGCAAGGTATCTCAGCGCCGTGTGGATATGACAACAGGTTTGGGAGAATGTTGTAGAGCCAACCGGATATTACCTGGGGACGAAGTCGTTTTTGAGTTTGTCAAGCAAAGTCTTTTGCAAATTCATATCCGCAGAGTGGGAGCATTAGGAGGCAAATCTGTGCTACCCGAAGAAGCTTAACTCCAAGTTTGATGACCTTGTCAATACTAATACTTTGAGAAAATGTTTTAACTACAACATTCACATATCTATTTCACTGTCCCACTAGACATTTTTGTATGCTCATTTGTGTAATTCACTTCGTTGATTGGCGCAACAAATGCCTTTGGAGATGCTTGTTTCAAACTAAAGACAAATAGGAAAAAAATTGGTGAGTTTTCAGTTTTTCTGTTTTCTAGTCTAACGCAAAATCTCAAATTTTGAGTGTGACAATTTGGTTAGTGTATTGGACATGTTAGAGACAAACTCAAATCTTGTTTTCTTGATGGAATGTAAATATTCAAATTTTAGACCTCTATTCTCATATTTGGGTTTCAGAAAGGTGGTGGATATATATTTTGATTTTCTTCTCTAATGCAAAGACTCGAGAACAATTTACATGACACAGATTCATTATATATGACCTTTGCTATCCAATAATTCATTGCCAAATTCAATTTTTCTCTCCTACCAATATATCATTAGATCTGAACACTACATGACGATGTACCTTATCCATATAAACTACTCTCAATCTTAAAACTCATTTTAAGTTTTAAGCCTTTGCATTGGAGTAGAAAACATAACTCATGCGCATATTTGATTTTCGATGACTAAAAGTTAAAAGCGGGATCCTACTTTAAAAGATAAAAAGTGACCTTAATTTTACTCAATCCATCTTAAACAGTAACTACATGAAACACTATAATTAGAGTCAAATACAGACTTCATAACTTTTAGTGGTAAAAAAGAGAGAGTGAAAGACAGGAGAGACACGACTCCTGAGATGAGAGACACGACTCCTGAGATGAAAAGCATTGACGGAAAGTAGGAAAAAGTGACAAGTAGCTGAAGGTCTTGTCTCCTCATGACTTCAATTAGGACTCTGATTCTCTGCCACTTAAATTAAGAACCAGAAGAAAGCTGTTCTGGTTTGTTGAACACTTACTCGATTAAGCGGCGAGGTGGCACTCTCTCGAATCCTTGCCGAGTCGACACATTTGGTTCAAATGGCAAGGAAGCCAAAGAAACCATCTTTTTTCAAGATTCTCGCTGGTGACTTCTCTCAGGGTCTGGTAAAAGATCCATCCTCCCTCCCTTTTTGCTTTTCGAGATGTTAATTTTCGTGTTTGTATTTTTCTCACTTTTGGGGGTTCATTTGGATAACATTTTAATTTTCTAATGTATTGATTAAATTTCTGTTGAAAATTGATATCCCAGTTCATGGTTCATGTGTGGGTTTAGGGTTGTTGTTGTTTGTATATTTTTCATATTAATGTTTATCATTCAATAACTGTAGGTCCATCTTTAGAGAACCAATTTATGTGAGGTTTACAAAGATTTGGTTAAAGCTATAGGATTATTTTTGTATTAGTATTGATAAGGTCTTTTCTTTTTTGATCTCTCATATTAAAAGGAACATATAATAAGGTCTCTTCTTTTATTTAATTGAAATAAAATATGGTCTTTTAAGAAGTTATTCAATTTTGTAGCGTATACCACCTGCGTTTATTAGGAAGAACTTCAATGGACGATCACTTTGCAAATGTGATCTCAAAGGCCCTAGTGGAATACGGAGGACTGTGGGATTGGAAGAGAGGGAGAATGGCTTGTTCTTCCGCAATGGTTGGCAGGGTTTTGTGAAGGATCATCGTTTAGAAGCTGCTGATGTTTTGGTTTTTGATTATGATGGTGAAACTAAGTTTGATGTCAAAATCTATGATAGAAGTGCGTGTGAAAAAGATGTCGGAGCAGCCGTGAGGAATACACAAAATCAAGCTAGAGTAAAAGATGAAACTGGTGATCTTGACACTGAAAACTATAACGAAGTGCGCAAAATCAGACCGACTGGCAGAAGTAAGTTAAAATCTGTTTTAGTTCTCTGCAACTAGTGAAGATTTGTATATGATCTCTAACATTTTTTGTATCTGATCTCTAACATTTTCTTCGTTCCTTCAATCGTGTTTTGGATTGTGTAGGCAATTACTTCATTTCTGGGAAGAGGCATTATCATGTGGAAGATACAGCAACCGGATCCATCTTGTTGAAATTAGAGAATCAATGTTTTCTAGCGTTTTCAAACAAGAAACATTTACTACGTTGCGTGGTGAGTACTTTTTCACCCACTTCATAAGTCAGTTCATGTTTCTGAAAAAAAAATTTGCGATTGGAAAACATTGAAACCGATCATGAGATACAATAAAAAACTATCGATGTTATTTTCTTGTAGTGTCAGTTAACTGGAGAAAAATTCCCAAGAAATCTTTCTTCAGCGTTCCACTTCATTTAGGGGTGCACTATAATATAAGTTTTAGGAAAGATTATGAATCGTTTACGTGAAAACTCTTCTAGCGTGAATAATTTTTTTAATTTGTAATTTCGTGGTCAATTTTCAAGCAAATTTACCCATGATGGATTGCAGAGGATTCCGAAGCAACTAGCTGTAGATCATCGCCTTATGTCTAAGAATGCTGTAACTCTTCAAGATCCAGCTGGGAGATCATGGGTTATTCAACTCAGACTCAGAAGGGTTATTTCATCTCATCAGTTGGACATGTCAACAGGTTGGGTGCATTGTGTGAAAGCGAACCGGATTTCGCCGGGAGACACCATGATTTTTGAGTTTGTGAAGCAAGGTTTGATGAAAGTTCATATTTTTAGAAAAGGAGCAGTGAGAGGCGATAAGTGTCGTCTGGTGCTTGCTGGCCCTAATGTTAAAGCCGAAAGCTAGTTGCTCCCAGAGTTTCACATCACAAATTTACCATCCTTTTGTAAAAATGTTGTGACTGCAGTATAATTAGCTTATCTATTTTGGTTAAACAATGATCTTATTTAATTTAAGAGTAAACTTTATATAAGTCTCATTTTGTAAGTCATTATTGGATTTAGTCCACTTTCTTTGTAAAGTCCGTTCATTGATTATTCACGTCAACTTATTTTGATTATACTATTTTCACTATCTTCAATTTTGTTTTAATTTTTTTATAGAAGCAATATAGGGAGATCCGATCTTAGGATCTTGAATGCAATAATAAATACTCTTAACCAGATAAGCTAATAGTTTCTTGCACTTATGTTTAGTGCCCATGAAATTTCACTGATTTTTTTTCTGGTAGCTTTTTTATTCAGGGTAGGATGCACTAGAAATGTGAATGCCATGTGAATTGGTGCTGGTGGAACCTTTCTTTCCTAATTTGTCACAATTGAGTTCGTATCAACAGTTACGTCCTAACTAAAGGAGCATTCGTGAATACTTGGTCAATCCCAAAATAGAGGTTGATTTTTTTTTTTTCGTTTTTTTATTCAAGCATATATTCAAGAGGTGGGAATTGAACTGGAGGTCTTGGGTGTAAGAATGAACGCCCTTGATCAACTAAACTGCAAACTCATTGCATTAAAATTTAACTTAAGAACGAGTGAACTAAAAAATTTATTGACCGAGTAAAATAGTTGTTGATTTCAGTATAACCTAAAAATAATTGTACTTGGAAAATTATTGGAACCTGGCTTCTCTGCCCTCCCACTCTCATATACTCTCATCCCCTCATATTTGTACGATCACAGTTAAGCCACGTTAATATTTTATATTATTATTATTTTTTGTCTTATTATCTTTATAAAAAAATCAATATAAAATGTTGACGTGGCTTAATCGTGACCGTACAAAATAAGAAAGTGGGAAGTCGGAGTAGCCGGGTCCAAATTATTGAACCATGTACAAGATTGAAAAGTCTGAAATACAATAAATATACTGATAAGAGACAGTAGTGTATGAAGGAGGGGTAATGTTTTGTAAAAGCTGAAGGATATACGTCTTGCAAAAGCGACCATAATAATTTAACTCTGCCAACCAACTTGCTTACATTCGAGTCATAACTTGGTAGCAGTCAATTGACAAAGAGAAACAACGTCATAACTTGTACTTACAAAAGAGCCAGATCGTGCCACAACCTAGTTTCATGTTTATTTACAAGAGAGTCATAACTTTGGTAGATGGCACTAAAAAAACTTCCTTATTCGAGTTTGAATGTATTACATTAATATACAGTACATGAGATAACCAAGATGGTTCATTTTCTACCTAAGTGTAAAAACAAGGAAATAAGAGAACGCATTTATAGTGAGATGATTCACCGTTTTATCGTTTGCACGAGAAAAATATGAATGCATATTTTTCTGTTAATGTAAATTTTGAAATTATAATTTGTTTAGGGGAAGGGATGCAAGAAACTCGCTCTTGCTCGTCAAGATAGGAGAAGGGGGATGATGACGTCTGTACCATTATTTTGCCCAGAACCAAACCAATACCCTGTTAGCTCGCCAAGTTTCTTAACTCCCTATCCTTTTACCCTTCTGCAGAAAAGACGTACGGAACTTAGAGACCACCAAAAGATATCGAAGTCCGATTGAAGCTGCTAGTTACTTTTATAGTTACTGTGCTAGCTAGCTGCAATTTTTCTGATGAACTGCACTAGTTAACTTTAATTGTTAAGCAACTAGCCAACTACCCTTCTTCAGCGACTTTAATAGTTACTGTACTAGCTAGCTGTATACAGTGAACTGCTAATTTAGTTCATGAATTATCACCTGAGTGAAAATTAGGTCGTTCAAATATTTTTTTCAGAAAAATCAATCATGGAATTATAATAATCTACCAATTACATCCCTAATATTGTATTTGAAGCTACTTGTTCAATTTTCCGTCGATTTAAGTTACCTTACTTGTATTGTATGTGATACACGTTGGATGATTTTACATAAAAAAAATAGTGCATGGAGTTAACTTTAGAGGGTAAATTAGAAGTTAGATTACAACCTATATGAAATACTAAGTGCTTATAGGCAAGAAAATAACGGAATTACACTTTAAAGTGTGTCAAATGAATTTAGTTGACGAAAAATTGGATAAAATAACTTTGAATATAATAGTAGGATAATACGAGCAATTTTTAATGAATTTAGGGACTTATTTTACAGAAAAAATAATTTAGGAACCTAATTTTTACTAAGGTGATAGTTCAAGAACTAAAATTGGCACTTCATCCTTATATGTGACATAGTGACAGTGAGGTAACGTTATGAGTTACGCTGATTTTCTTTCCTGTTAAATTGACCGTGGTCGAGATATTTTCTGTCACTACAACCCAAAATCGAGTCGAATACTAAGTTGAGTCTATGAGCTTTAGAGCAATTTCAGTGTGTAAAGGCTCCTAATGACAATAGACAATTCAATCCCCTCAAGTGAACATTAATTATCTTTAATGAATAGTAATTGCATATTGCACCTCCATTCTTAAACGGTATAGCCAAGGCATTTCGTATTAAAATATTAGTATTTTTATATTTTATAAAATAATAAAAATAATTTTATTTGTAACTTCGGATATGGTTTTTAACTGATCTTGTCATGCCCACATTGAATGGTAGATTGATAATTTTACATAAAAAAAAAAGTGCGTGGAGTTAACTTTAAAGGGTAAATTAGACGTTAGATCACAACTTATATGAAATACTAAGTGCTTATAGGCGAAAAAAGAACACAATTACACTTTAAAGTGTGTCAAGTGAATTTAGTTGACGAAAAATTAGATAAAATAACTTTGAATATAATAGTAGGATAATACTAGCAATTTTTAATGAATTTAGGGACTTATTTTACAGATTCCGTTGTGCCACGTGTCGTTACTTGTTTATAATCGTTGATAATAGATTTCCGATAAGATTTTTAACCAATCATGTTGCACCACGTGTCACTATCGGTTTAGAATCTTTGATGATAAATTTTGATAAGATTTTTAACGAATCACAACGTGTCACGTGACATTATTTACAATCTAATCCTTTCTTTTTTTCTCCATATAACACACTATTTATCCTAAAAAGTCACACACCAAAATCAAAATCTCTATCCTTCATAGTTTATAAATCTTAAGTTCTTACAATATATTTTTCAAGGATTTTGTAAGAAATCGATAAGTAAGAAAAAGAATTGTTTCAGCAAGTCAAGAAAGAGAGCTAAGTCAACACAACGCTGTTGAACATAACATATCTAGGAACTCCGAAGTCCCCAGCGTTTTTCTTCCTCTCCAGCTCCTAACCAAACCTCTCCTTCCCCCTCCTCCCCCCTCCTTTCTCCTTGATTCTCATCACGTTTTGATGATAAATTGTTCCTGCTTCCCACACCAAACCTCTCTCTCCTTCTTTCTTTCTCCTTCATTCTCATCACGTTTTGATAACAAAATTGCTGCAGGGTCTTGTCTCCTCACGAGTCCTGACATGACCTATACTAAGCATAGCATAGCAGCTAGCGGAGGAGTACTCTCTTGAATCTTTGAGGACCGGTTGGTTCAAATGGCTAGAAAGCCAAAGAAAACCATCTTTTATCAAGATCCTCGCCGGTGACTTCTCTCTGTCTGGTAACATCCACATCCTCCTCTTCCTTAAACTTCCTTTATACGTATCAAGATCTTATTTTTTCTGTTTGTGTTTTTTATTTTAGGGTTTCATTTGGATAACTTTCTGCATCTCTTCAAGTTTAATCGATATATTGGATTATGGTTCATGTGTGGGTCCGCTTATTTTATAGCAGATTACTTAGGGTTTGATGTTCTTGCAAAAACAGAGCGCTGCTTATGGCACCTTGCAAGTTCCTAATTTTGATAGTATTAAGCTGTTTCGCAATAGAGCCAATCAACTACTCTCTGTGATGAGAAGGCTAATTGTTGGATGGTGATTATTGTTTTTATTATTTTAATTTTATTATTTGTTTGATCTTATTCTATCTTCTCTAACTGGTAATTCATATTCTAGGTCAAGGTTCATCTCTAATTATTTGTGTACAAATATTGACTGGCTACACAGAGACGTTGTACAAAGTGTTGTCTCAGCTTCACAATTAATATCCCATCATATGTTAGTTTTATTCTGTAACTTTGTATATCTTATCATTAGCATTCTGTCTGATGTCCACTGCTGAGAATTATGGCTATAGGACATCAATGTTTGCACATTATTTGCAATTGATGACTATAGATAGAAAGATAGCACTCTTAACATTTTTTGGTGTCTTTTTAGTTGGATGCCATTGATATTGGTAGCCTTCAAATTTGAGACACCAACCATTAGTGTATGCTTTATTCTTAAAAAGTAATTTCTTGTGCATTTGTGAGTAACTGGGGGCACCAATAGAATTTATTGGGCACCAATAAAACAAAATAAAAAAACAATTAAACCTCTCTCCCCTTCACAAAAGTCCAACTCCTCCCCTTCATTCTCTCTGCTCGCTTCCCCTTCATTCTCACTCTCCTCCCTCCCGTATCCTCTCTCTCCCTCTTCTCTTTCATGTAGTAGGGCGTCCGTCCTCCGGTCACCAACGACCATCAAATTATATCTCCAGAATCCTCTTCCCTTCCTATTTCCAACCCTTAAGTTAGTTTCTACAAATTCGTAGCTGAATTTTCTCAATTTCAGATCTAAGAAACGGTGACCGCGGGGTTTCAGGCCAATTTTCGGCCAAGAGGTAAAAATGATCCTCTCCTCGTGGCCGTTCCCTAGTGTAAGTGATTTCTCAAAATAAAATCTTTCAGTTTTTGGATCGATTCTAGATTTTGAATTTTAATTCCATTTTCTGTATGCATGTCGAAGATTGGGGACGAAGAAGGTTGCCTGGGCCGAGAAGAATGGAAGCCTTGGAAGGTTGTGGGTGAAACTAAGGTGAACAAGGTTCTTCTAAAAAAACTAAGGTGAATAGGGTGATTTTCTCCTTAACCACAAGGTAACTGATATTACAGTTAAAGTTGAAGCTCCCAGTCTTGAATCTTTTGGATTAGTAGGTTCTAGTTATTCTTTTTTCTATCTATAACAATATTGCTTCTTGTGGAGCACTTAGAAATCTCATTTTCTTCGCACTGTCATATTAACAGTTTTCACTAA